ATTAAGGATTTCCTGGCACATCAAAAATGATTAATAACGTCTATGAGTCCGTTTTGGACATTATGTACTATAGTGCCCTCCGGCTTCGAGTATTAATAAAACAAACACCGCATGAGAGTGTTTAGCACTCTGTAATGTTCACATCGTTTTGGATACGAATAAAACATATCCAAAACGATGTGACTATCTTGTCTCTTTTAATTTAAATCTAGATTTATTCACACTGGCCCTTAAAAACCTCTTTTGTAAACAAACTTGCCCGAAAAAATTGTTGGGGAAGAGTTTAGTTTTTATTAAAAGTCAAGAGGACACATCCGCCGTGTATTCTACGGCCATGCTATAGGGAGCCACTGCAGAGGGATGAAAGAGCCACATGTGGCTTTGGAGACGTGGGTTGCCGACCTCTGACTTAACCAGCCACACCAAAGCAAACAGGAGGAGAGCATAAAGAGGCAGGGCAACTAGAATTGAGTTCAAAATTAAAATATATAGTTTATTTATATAAAAGATATATTTATGTATAAAGTTGGGTAATCATGGAGCTATTACGATTAAGTCCTGCCCACTCCTGCTGACATTTTTTCCTGTCCCGTCCCAATCACGTGATTAATAGTGATTTAGTTTCCCATACCGCGGGATTCCCGAATAAATGTCAGCCTCTAGTGAACATATCATTTACAAAAAGTGTAAGTGTACTATTAGGTCCCTCATGATACATTTAAACATGAACAATACATTTAAAACTCTTTGAATTATTATTAAATCATGAACTTAAAACTCATTTTGTAGTTATAGGTGAAAAATACACCTCTACACCATGATAATAGAACAGTCTTTTTATAATTTTATAGCTCAACATCCTTTGCGTGTTTCTTCTTTAGACCATTGACTTCGCACTGCTTCAGTGGACAGCATCATATTGAACTAACCACTCCCATTTTTAGTTTTGCCAACCTAGGGAGGCAAAATAGTGTAGTGATGGATACTCGCATCACCAGTGATGTTATGATTTTTGGATCACGTGTTACTTAATGTGCGGTAATAAGTACATCAGATAAGAAAGATTGGTGGGATATCTAACTTGTAGAACCTCTTTCTGTATTATCAACACAAGGAAGACACAAAGTGCTGTAGGATGCTGATCTTCTGGAGCACCAAAGGGTACTAAGATCTGGAATGTGCAGATGTGGCCCTGGGGGCGTATTACAGAATGTTTCTTATCTTAGGTCTTAACTTAAGATATGATACGTTAAATTAGAATTTATCGCAAATTCGTATTACAGGAGGAAATCTTAACTTGATTTGGGATTCTTACATAATCATATCTCTAGTTAGGAAATCTTAAATTGCATCATCAATTTCAACAATCCACTTTCAGGTCTGTTACCAAGCAACCAACACTGCAGCAGCTGCTGATGAGATAAACAATGGATAAACAAAACCGGCGAGCTTTTAATTTCAGTGCCGCTAAAATTTTAACTTTGATAAGTTCTGTAGAAAAGGCAAAGCCGATTCTATTTGGTAAGTTTTCACCTTCGCTCACTAACGAAGACAAAGACATGGAGTGGGAAAGAGTTGCTGAAAATGTATCTGCGGTGTCCGGCATTAACTGTACAGCCGAGTCTGTGAAGAAAAAATTGTTGGACAGAGCAATTGTAAGTGGTTTTTCCTTTGGCTTTCAAATAATTTTGAAGTTAAGACAGTTGTGGGGTTGAGAGTTAAGACCGTTTTTAGGATTTTTTTGTCAAGTTAGGAGGTTTCTGTAATAATCAAACAGATAAGATAAGATTTTAAAGTTAGAATCTTTCTGTAATACACTCCCTGGAGTAGGTGCAGAAGGTCCTTAGCCTGGAACACGCAAGCAAATGCACCATAAAGTGATGGTTTAACCTTTAAAACTGGAGCTTAACCTTGTTGCAAATGTCTTTGACTTCTGCCTTTCTGGTCTAGCGACTTAGGACTTGGTCAATCTGCTTTGTCTCTCTAGGATAGAGACTCAGGATGTGCTGCATCTGTTGTTGTCTCGCTGGACAAAGACTAAACATTCAATATTTCTTTCCTCGCAGGCTGGAGGCTCAGAACGTGGTTGTATCTGTTGCTGCCTCAAAACTGGAGCCTCGGAGCGTGGTCTGTTGACATTTGTATCTCCCACCATGCAGGCCGGAGACTCATAACGCTGTATCTGCTATTGTCTCACTTTTGCAGGACTCAGACTCAGTACGAATGTGTCTTTTGGAAGGGTACACCTTCCAGTGTAGCCCATCCTTCTTTCCTCCTGTGGAATTTATTTGCATAGTCCAAAACACAAAGTTAGAAAAGTGTCACACAATTTTTACATATGAATTATTCACTTACCAAACCACAACCTGAATACCTTTGGCAACATTACGAACGGATTAAGGGCCACATCTGCACATTCCAGACTGCATTAATTAGGACAACCATGTAGCGAATCAGCTCACGGGGAAATATGAATAATTAATCATAACTAGTTATAATTAATTATAAATATTTCGATCCGCTGTAAATATTTACTTGACCTCTCAGGGTCAACCATCTGTCGATTCTAAGAACGTTAATTTCCTGGTTAAGGGAAATAACTTTCTTACTGTACAACTCTACACAGAGCCTGTAGCGTAAATCTGCATGATTAGGGACTCCAGTTATGAGCAAACAATGAACAACGTCAAGTGTGATACAAGTAAGACTTTATTAACTACATAAACACTTAAACTAGTCTAACGTACTACATAAACACTTAAACTGGTCTAACATACATACACACGCGTACAGTTGGTATAGGAAAGGGTTAAAGCTTACGCAGTAAAGAGGAACAAAAATAAGAATGTGAAACTATGGAACCATTTGATATTCAGCAGATCTACCGCCTGAAGGAAACATCAGATTCTTAGTTCAAACACACCTTTGTAAAAAGGTGCAAATGATACCTAATGTATCAATTAATGAGACTAAGTTTGATACTTGCACGTCTCATCTGTCTGAAAGAGAGGCTTGATGCAGTCCGAAGGTTCAAGTTGATCTTTGCTGAAGTTGGTTGATGAAAAAGAACCAGTTTGAGTCAGAGAATCTTGGTGAATGGAAAAGTCGAGGCCGAAGCCTGGCACAAACTTAGGGTGTCCTGGAGCATTGTAGCTCACATCTTCTCAATAACCTAACAGAACCACCGACTACTGGGCGGGTCACTGATGTGAGGCCTTTAAGGTCTGAGAAGATTCACGCCTCTCAAGATGGGCTTGTCCAATGAGAAAGGCTGAAATCCCAAGCGGGAGGTTGCAATTGCTGGAGGGTTTTACGACCCTTTGTGTGAGGGCATTGTAATTTGCAAATGGAACTCGAGTGGGGGCGTGATGAAAGATTACTAAATGTTCTTAGAACACTAATATGTTGCATAGGTATAAACATATAATATACACTCTCAATTAGATAATCCGAATACGAATTCATAGAGACCAAACCTGGTATATTTAAGGTTACATGAATGAGTGGTTATATCATAAGCATGCATAAAGTAGTCTACAATGCAACAGACAATATACAAGACGGCAATAATATACACAATGACCTGAAGGATATGTGTGTTCATTCACAGAAAGGTTTTCCTATGAATTAATTAGTAGAAAAGTCAATTTCTACTGTGCATTATGTCTCTTTCTACGGAGAGTGTAGTGAGAGGGGTAATTCTCAACATGCCATTAGGTCATAAAATCTATCTGGTCTAGCAAAGGTGTCAGGGTTGCCATGGTAACCAGGGTCCTGGGCCTCGTTCACAGACAACTTGGCACCCAGTATGTTTATTGGGTGAGGGGTCTGTGAATGTTTGTTAATCTAATGAATAATTGATTTGTTAAATCAAATGAAAAATGGTGTGTCTGATTGGTACAACCAGAACCGGGAACACTTCCCATAACACCCAATGTACTTGATACATCGTTAGAAGAATGGCATCTACTCTAATATTAGTCCATTTCTTTCTTATTGCGAGGTCACCGTAGCCACCAGATCCAGTCTGTATCCAGATCAAATGGTCACTGCAGTCCCCTGGATCCAGTACATATCCAGCCCAGATGGTGGATCAGCACCTAGAGATGACCTCTACAGCCCTGAATGTCAGCGGAGACCAGGACAACTAGATGACCCCCTGAGACAGATCCCTAATGAAGACCTTGTCTCCTAGACGGCCACTGGGACAAGACCAAAGGAACCAGATGAGTCCTCTGCACAATGTGACTTTGCTGCAGCCTGGAATTGAACTTCTGGTTTTGTCTGGCCAGAGGAGAACTGGCCCCCCGACTGAGCCTGGTTTCTCCCAAGGTTTTTTCTCCATTCTGTCTCCGATGGAGTTTTGGTTCCTTGCCGCTGTTGCCTCTGGCTTGCTTAGTTGGGGACGCTTAATATCCAGCAATATCGTCAACTTGATTGCACAGATACTATTTAAACTGAACTGAGCTGGATGATGACATCACTGAATTCAATGATGAACTGCATTTAACTGAAAATTGAGTGTTTACTATTGTCATTTTGCATTATTGACACACTATTTTCCTATTTAATACTGTAAAGTTGCTTTGACACAAGCTGTATTGTTAAAAGCACTATATAAATAGAAGTGACTTGACTTGTTTTTCTCCAGAAAAAAAATTTGTGCTGGGGAGCTCTGGCTGAGTTGACACGGAATGACCCTACTGAAAGTTAATGACGTGAAGTTTTACACATTCTCATGGCCAGGTGCAGCTTAAACCATTTGGGTAGTTAACTTTTGGGAGTAGGTTTGCTGAGACTCAAAATCAAGGGTTGATTTCCTGTATTGTCTTTAGATGTTTTGATTAAGTGGTCACTTCTGAGGCTGTGTAAGGTAAACCCCGTTAAGGACTGCCCACTGACTGCCTATAAAATACAATGTATCACTTATGTCTTAATTAGACTTTTGATGAATTAGTAACAGAAAATAACCCATTCTATATGTTTTTTTTTTTTTGTAGGATTTAACAGCCTGTTCGTGTGCGAATGATGCGCCGCCATTGGTTGCTGGTTGGTGCTTGTGGCTGGGTGTTACTTATCCTTATGTTTGTCAGCAAGTTCATCAACTTCAGCTTCAGAATACCAAGTGGTATGTGTTTATTACATTAGGTCAGAGTTTCTATATAGAGATATTGGTTTAAAGGTGGGGTAAGCAATTTTTCAAAAACACTTTAGAAAACTGATTCAGGCCGACTAGCAAAACAAACTTGTAGCCAATCAGCAGTAAGGGGCGTGTCTACTCATGATGTGGAGGAGAGAGCATTCAGTGACATTAGCGAGCCGAGCGACAGAAAGATGGAGATGGTGGATAAAAAAACAAAAGAGGAAAACGTCTGCGAAACAAAATAAGGCTTAAGGCAATAAGACAAGAAGTAGGACCCAAATAAATATCGGATCAGCTTTCCAGCGCTGGAGAGAACTCAAGGAGTGGAGGGCCTGCCGAGTGGGCTTCCATACCACCTCAGCAGTGCCACAAACTGATCACCTCCATGCCATGCTGAATTGAGGCAGTAATTAAAGCAAAAGGAGCCCCTACCAAGTATTGAGTACATGCACAGTAAATTAACATACTTTCCAGAAGGCCAACAATTCACTAAAAATGTTTTTTTTATTGGTCTTATGAAGTATTCTAGTTTGTTGAGATAGTGAATTGGTGGGTTTTTGTTAAATGTGAGCCAAAAATCATCACAATTAAAATAACCAAAGACTTAAACTACTTCAGTCTGTGTGCATTGAATTTATTTAATACACGAGTTTCACAATTTGAGTTGAATTACTGAAATAAATGAACTTTTCCGTGACATTCTAATTTATTGAGATGCACCTGTATATATCTATTGTGTAGACGGCATCACTGATTATGTGTTCTATAGTAATTTTTGTCGCGCCGCACCACTCGCCTCCGGTGTGCACGGTGTAACATTGGTGTTGCTTTGTTTCACAGAACTAATAGTTGCCTAGGTTGCATACGTACAGTATGTGTGAGGCGGACATATCAAAGTAGGGGCGAGACCCTTTTGGGGTAGGGGCGTGTTTGTTTTGGTGATTTCAGATGTCAACATTGGCTACCAGAAATCGCTTACCCCGCCTTTAAAGTGTTTAGAGGTTTAAAGTATTTTTTGCAATGCAGCGACATTTGAAAACTTTTTGAAAATGTTTTTTTTGACTAGTCACATCCTATGCATGTTTTTCAATTTTGCCAGTTTAAGCATTCAATCTGTTTTTATAGAGGTCAAAAAGCAAATGCACGGAAAACACAAAATACTCCATTAACCAGTGAAAAAAATTTATTGAGATTCGACAACCTCTGATTGGTGGATCTCACATTGTGTCCCTGCTATTTGTAATACACACAGATGCCTCTTTAGTATGGAATTAACTTTGTGCCAATTAAAATGAATGTAATTTTTCAAGAAACTTATGAAAATATAAATTGAAACAATAAAATGTCTTTGAAACTGAAAAAATAAATAAATTGCAGGCAAAATTTTTGACTTCGTTTTTTAATACACTGCATGTTTTGCAACAGTTTTCTCCTCTTTCATTCGCTGATCTGTACTTTCAAATGCGCTTCCAGAGTTTTCATTTACGTTTCTAAAGTTTTCGTTTACACTTCTGACATTTTCGTTCGCCATTCTGGCACAAATCTCTCGTGGGGGTGGGGCTAGCAGCGGTGTGTTCTCCTTGGCTACTGAGTTTGTGATTGACAGCTTCTTGACCTGGAAGTGAAGGCGTCAGTGTTGCCTTGCCAGTGTGGATGTGAGCGTCTGTTAGCGGCTTCCAATTTCATTTTAGTGATATAAAGTTAGGAGTTTTGTTTTTGAATTCAATCTGTATTTATCTGTTACTACTACTTTCAACATAAGCTTTTAGGAGTGTGAGAGATCAAACGCAAGAGAAAAAGGTCATATTGAGGTTTAATTATTAAAGTACTGTATATAATACTGGACATATTGTATAATGTCCAATGTTTTCATTGGATATTTGTTTATTGCTCATGATTCTTTTGCATTATAGGGTCTAATTAGGTTGAGCTGTTACATTTGAAATACTATCATATATGTGTGATATATTCAGACGTCAAGAAAGTCTCTCTCCAACCAGGCAATCAAGCTCATTTTATTACATATTCCACAAAGAATGTTCTTGCTGCCAATTGTTTTTATCATGCTGATAATTTTGTTATTTTATTTAGTTAACATTATCATCTAACATTTAAAATTGGAAATACATTTTAACAATCATCAACTCTTTCAAGTGTGACTTTTATAAACCAGTTGAATGAATGTAAATGAAAATATGAATACATTCAAATAAATGTACATTCTTTATTGCCACTATAGCATATACACAAGTATCAAAGTGAAAGTCTTGATGCAATTATGTTGTGACAGGAAAGACCAGAATCCACGAAACACTAACTGTACATGCAATGCACAGTATTCTCATAATTTACATTACTACACAAAATGCACAAGAACATAATATACAGAATGTTTACAATTCATTATATGTTTTAAACACTGCAATGATCCTTTCAACAGTTCCTGTTACAGTATAAGTTACAAAACAGTGAATGAGTTTATGTAATGGAGTGCAATATCAACCTTTACAGGAATATTCCACCCCCAAAAATGAAAATGATCTAATTTACTCACCTTCATGCCATTCCAGATGTATATGACTTTCTTTTTTGACATAACACAAACATTTTTAAGAAAATAATCCATCTCTGAGAATCCACATAACACAAGTGAATTTTAACCCATGCACGGAAGCGATTGTTAATAGTCAAAAGTTTAAATTATTAGTGTTTTTCTTATCTGTTGTTTCACTTCAAAAGATACTGATTCAACCACTAAGGTCAGATGGATTACTGTCACGGTAGCTGTGTGTGGTTTTTAAAGCATTTTTAGGACTCTCAGAGATGGATTATTTGCCTAAAAATCTTAATTTGTGTTTACCTGTCCAGTAGAAAGAAAGTAATATGCATTTGGGACAGCATGAGGGTGAGTAAAAGATGAGAGAATTTTTATTTTGGAGTGAACTATCCCCTTAACAATCATATACTGCTGGTATGCTAATCCAAGATCAGCATAGACTAATAAGAATAAAGTGCATCCTCTTGTGTACTTGTGAACTGTTTGTTTTATTTAAGAGCGCTAAATAAATTAAAATATTTGCATAATATCAGGTGTCTGAAGATCAAGATCCCAGTCATTCAAAGGTGATGTGTCTGAACAAAGTAAGATTCTTGTCTGATGGGGGCAATGGGTCTCTGGTACTACCATTGCATCCTCTGGGTCAGCATCAGAAGTTTGTTTATGGAAAAGTTGCTCCGCTCCCTGGAAATTGAGAAAGGACATGTATTATAGTCAAACTGCTTTGAACTCCCATGAGACATTTCAAACTTAAAATATTTCAAACAAATAAATACACAATATAATTATTTAATTATATATATATATATATATATATATATACAAACCCGATTCCCAAAAAGTTGGGACACTGTACAAATTGTGAATAAAAACAGAATGCAATGATGTGGAAGTTTCAAATTTCAATATTTTATTCAGAATACAACATAGATGACATATCAAA